TCTCTACCTCCTGAATAGCTGGGATGTTAGTTGTGTGAAAACACTCATGGCCCTATTTTGTACATCCATATGAAGGTCAATGATTCAAAAAGTAATTCAAGTTACTATAATAAATAGTTCAATCTCTTCCAAAATTAGTAATTTTTAAGTGTTGAAAATTTGTACTCTTGCTTTCTTGTGATTTTGACATACATCATAAATCTTTTAAAGCTTTAGTTACTTACTGTACTAAACAAGAATCAGCAGTGGCTGACAGAATACCTCAAGTGGTAGAGTACCTGCTTATCAAGTATGAGGCCCTGAATTCAAACTCCAGTATCACCGAAAAAAATAACCAGCACAAATTCCTCCACTCTAATTGTGATTGGCTCCCTCTATTGCAACACAGTCTATGCTTTCTTCCACCTGACTTTCCCATTCTCTGGTGACCTTTATTTCCTCCTCCTTCTATGGGATTTTCTTATTAGTTCCCACAAGCATGTGAGAACATGTGGTGTTTGTTTTTGTGTGTCTGACTGACTTCATGTAACAATTGACCTCCAAATTCATCCATGTGTCTGCTCAAGACCAGAATCCACTTTTAAGACTGATTAATATCCCATGGTCTATATCTACCATGTTTACTTAACCTTTTAAAAACTGAATTGGATATTCAATATTTTATCCATTGTGAATAATGCTCCAATAAAAACAGTTTATATAGAGAGAAGGCATCAAGATATTATGAATAATAAATGACTTTATTAGAGTTGTGGGAAAAAATCTTCAATTATGTGAAAAGGAAATCAGGAAGATTTCAGTGTAATGGTGTGCAATTCAAAATACTTGCAAATAAATTAAACCAAGGAGGTATAATATCTCTACATTGAAAGTCATAAATCATGAATGGAAGAAATTGCATAAGACACAAGGATCTGGAAATATATCACATATTTAGGATTAGGTTAAATAATAATGATAATGGTCATTCTTTATATTAAGACATATAGCTGTAATGTAATCTTTCAAATTTCAAATGACATTACACAGAAAAATGTCAAATCAAAAGTAAAATGTGTTTACATCCACTATTTACCATTGTAGGTTAAGACAATCATGTATTGAATGATAGGTAACAGAGTGATGGCATTACCTGACACATGCTGCAGAGCTGTGGTGACCAAGACATCATTGCACCAGGAGAAGGTCAAAGCCAGAGTGATCACAGTACCTAGTGTTTGCAAATTCTCCAGAGTTGAGATGACCAATACAGCATGGCTCCATAAAAAGCAGCTACATGACAATGGAGGGGCTAGGAAGAAATCCAGCCTTACATTCCTGATTTTCTACAAAGCTTCCAAAAACTCAACAGTGACATTTTATCAGTTTCCTCAATATGGAGCATATAGAAAATGAGATATCTATATTCCATATTTCATGAACAGAAACTGATCATCAAGTACCACCCTTTCAGGACTCAAAAAATGTTCATTAATTTCCTGGTCTCTGTGGCAGGACAGTGACCTTCTCTTCAGATCGCCCACATTGCCCATGTATTGCCTTTTACCCCATTCTGCAGTCACTGCAAAATGCCCTCATCCCCTGCACAGTGAGCACAGCTCCTGAGCATCTGGTCTGGGAACCTTCATGAATCTGAAGAATGAAACATTTCCTTCACTAAAAGGAAGAACTGGTGGAGACCCCATATGCAGCACAATGACTAAGGTTGACAATCATGAGTGGTATTTTTGAAATTTTTAAGATAGTTGATCTCAACCCACAAAATGAACGTCCCATGTAAGGTAATGAGTGTGTTAATTACCTTCATTGTGGCAATAGTGTCACAAAGTATGTATCCACTAAGACAATGTGCTGAAGGTCATGTACTTACATGTATGTATTTTATATGCTTATAGTGCTGTCTAAATAAAGCTGAGAACAATGAAATGTACACTCATCTTGCAGAAATTTCTAAAAAAATTGAGTATAAAGTTGACGTAAAATAAAAGTCTCAGCAGTCATCCATATCATGCTGACTATAAATATAGAACAGCTGGAAATGCAGTGCTGGGCTCGTCTCCCTGAAAAGCCTGGTCAGGTCTGGACTGGTTTTCATGAGCAGAGGGAGGTCTTATTTGCATGTCTTCCTGCTATGTAGCAGGCTCTGGCTGGAAGTCTCAGAAAAGGCAGTGTCCAAATCACATGTGAGAGTCCTGGTAGAGGTGACAATGACTGGTTCAATGAATGAAAAGGGGAATGTTTAGTGAGTGACCAGTGGGAAGGTGAATGTGAAAAGAACAGAGATAGTGGGAGCGAATATGATCAAAGTACTTCATAGGAATTTATGAAAATAAAGTAATGAAACATGTTATCATTGTTTAAAAATGGGAAATTGATGACCAGAAAGAGTAATAGGTATGCTGAACTTGTTCAAAGTACATTATATGCATGTATACATACAAAAATGAAACCCCTTTGAACAATCAATATACATTAACCATAAATACAGAAAACAAAAGAAAAAATTATATCATTGTTTAACATTATGAACACTTCATCTTATTTAATGTTTGTGCATATGCACAAAACCTGTCATGCACGTATTAAATTTACCTTTTTTTGAATATGAGGAAGTACCAGTGTAAACACAAATGCTTGTGCCCTGTGGACAGGAGGTCATGATTTGTATGTTATCCCTAGTATATTGCTCTATGATTAACAACCATCCACAACGCAGCTCCTTAAGCACCTCCACCACCCTTGGTGTTAGTATCTACTGTGGTACAAGGATAGAGTCTACTGCCTAAATGTTTCCAGATCTACCTTCCTGTCGCCACTCTGAAATAGCACTACTTCTCTGGAGTGAAAATCAGTCAAAATCAATATCTTGAGCCAAGTAAGGGAATTTCATGTACAATAGATTTGTAGTGTGGACACTGTCCTGACAACCTTCTCTATGAACTAACCATCTCTATCTTCTAGAAAAAACACCAAATCTAGAAGCTATAGAATGGTAAAATACATTTGAATACATAAACCACTGAGCTACACTCACCTGAAATTATGATGGTGACATTTAAAGGAGTTAAGGGACATGAGTATAGAAGGATACTGACTGGAGGGGATTCAGTGAGAGGGAGAAGAAATGGAAACACCCTGGTGAAGGGGATTAAAGTAGGATATATATGTACATAAGGAGAGCAAATTCGATGCCAACCAAAGTGTTTGAAAAAGGGGAAAGCAGGGATAGGAAAATACAATGGTTGACCTTAAGTTAATCAAATATTCTATTTGAATCAAAGCAAATGACACTAAAAATCCCCCAGTATTGTTAATGTCTGACAATTCAAAATAAAAAAGGAAAATCTAAAACAAATGTAAAATTATTATGTTCAGAAAATCACACTAAAGTAAAATTGATGGAATCTGACACAAAAGAGGACTTAGAGATGATTTCTGGGCAATAAAGGAAAACCTTAGCCTGAAAATGAACCACTCATTAGGCTCCCAGAGGGAGATGGGTCTGAGACAGTTTACACTGTGTCCTGGGTGTCCCTTGCAGGTTCTGAGCCAGTCTGCTGGTCAAGCAGGTGCCTGCTGGTCCCGATGAACCACTGTTGGTCATGAGGGCCCCTTGCATGTCACAAGCACATGTACTGGACTTGAGTGATCCTTGTTGCTACCTAGTGCTCCCTGCAGAACTTGAGACATATTGCAGGTTGTTAGACCCCCTGATGGACTTGAGTGCACCCTGATGGTCCTAAGTGTCCACTCCTGCTCCTGAGTGATTCCAACAGAATCAACTGTTGGTCATGACTATTCCCTGCTTGTCTTGAGTTCTCTGCAGAGTGATTGTGTCTGGGTTCACACTTAAAGTCTCCTCAACATGCCTCTTGCACAATAATACATGGCAATGCCTCAGTTGTCAGGCTGTTGAGTGCTAAGATTTCCTGACTCTTGCAGGTGGCCTGGCACATGAGTCAGTAATTAAGGTCTGTGAAGGCTTCACCAAGCCAGGTCCTGATTCCTGCAGCTGGCCTTTGGATGGGACACCTGCAGACAAGGAACATCATATATCAGAAACCCAATTCCCAGGTTCCCCCTCCTGAGATCATGAGAAGCTTACAGTGGAGCTGCCACCAGGCAGAGGAGAAGCCCCAGGACTTACATGCTCTGTGAAGGGTCCTGTGAGAAGGAGACTGGGATTCCACAGCTGGTGCTGGGCTTTCAGCCTGCTATGTATTGGAAGGCTTCTGAGGATAGAAGTGTGGAGCCGAGTGCATGTCCTCTCTATGTCACTCCTAGGGAGAGGTGAGTCCATATAAACCCAGAGGTCTCCACCTATGCATGATCTCCCAAGAGCATGTGATCTTCTCCATGTCTGCAGGCAGTCCCTAGTACTGACCTCCCAAGGTCCTCCAGGTCAGGATTCAGTTTCTAGAGGTTAAGGGAGTTGAACCATGCATTGGGCACTTTTCTTTGACCTGTCACTGGGAATGATTAATCATGAATGACACTGTGCCTCAGTCATTCAGGGGATTAAATTTGGCTGGTATTTCTATGTGTAAAGTGGAAGGAACTTGTTTACAAGTTGAATTGCTGATGAGTATTTCCATTGTTGTCAGATTCTGGCTTTACAAGTGAAACTTAAACTGAGATTAGTGATTTTGGCATCTGAAAGCAGCTACATTTATTCTTATAAAACAACCAAAACTATAAGCATTGAACCTTGGTGTATTATCTTCAACACATGAAGGATCAAAAGTTACAGGGACATAACCAACCTTCTTCTGGGTAAAGAAAATGCTTGCACTTCTCGCCATCAAGTTGACTCTGAAGAGTCATTTTATCCAGGTTATTTCCTGAACCCATACTTACCGATGAAGTATCACACACTTTCTGTTCATTAGAATAAATTGGATGAACTAAATGATGTATAATCTACATTTCTTTTAGAGGATGCAGCCGATCGAGAGCAGGCAATGGATGCAAGTTAAGCTTTGATATAAATTCTTCCTTACCGAGAAGAATCTGGAGCAGGGTGCGACTTCTCTGAGGATAAAGATTGGTCATTGCAGTGTTCACCCCCAGTAAAAGAAAGAAATTGTTTTCTACAGCGATATAGATCTCAGGAGGTAACATATGCTTAAATCACTGCTTCTGAATTTTGGCAAGTTATAATGCTAGTGGGAAGGTTAAACATTTAGGAGCTCTCCTAAATCCCAGAGTATTGCATAATACAAATGTAGAAGTCAATGACACCTAATGAAAATAAAAAACAGGCTGCAAACATCCATTCAGTGAGACATGTAGACTTTGCCTATGCCATACACTTATCTAAACTGTCAACAGAAATCAGTGGTTTCATTCAAAAATCAGTATAAAATATGTTTATGGACTACATTTAACTTTTGAAAGAAAGGGATACTTGTAAGTTTTTACATCAATTCACTAACTATTCCCAAAAATAGAGGGTGAAGATGAGGGTGAATATCCTCTAAGAATTTTATACATATGTACTAAAAGAGAAAAATGAAATCTGCTGAAATTATTTTAAAAGGAGGAGAGGTGTGAGAAGAAATGATAGGGCTGAATTTCATTGGAGTACAATGTAGTTGTGCGTGGAAATATCAAAGAAATCCTATTGAACTAGTATATGCTAATAGAAATGTTTAATAAAGCTGCTACTGTGCCACCAAATAACTTTCAATGAATGCTAAATTTCTCATAAGAATGATTTTGTATCTCAATGTAACATTTTTGAAGAAGTTTTAAATCAGCTGAGTATATTTGGTCAAATTTTGTCAGTAGTCAACATCACATCAAGTGGAAAATTTTAAGGTAGAGTTTGTAATGTAACAAGCCTGCAGGCACTTTAGTATCCTTAGAAGAAATGTCCTCACCCCCAACACTCCAGAGGACTCCCAGGACTCACTGTTTTTGTCCATTTGCATGATGTCCTATAATAATTCCTTCACAAAGGCCATGTCCTTCCAGCTGGTGAGCAGCTGGGTGACCGTGAGTTTCTAACTGTGTTCACACCACAAGCCTCATCACAGGAAGCTATCCAGAACTTTGCTGCCCTTCAACATTGCCTTCTGACACCCACAGTTGTCTTGGGTTGTCAGAAAGATGCCATTTTCATGTAGAAATTGTCAAAATTTTCAGAAACCCTTGATCCCCTTGACCCTCACCTGTCACACCAGCACTTATGGCCAAGGTTCAATTCCCCCAGGACACACTGGTCATCACCCAGTTACTGATGACTGGGAGGACCACGCACACAGAAATTTAACTTCCAATACCAGCTCTGTCCTGTGGCACACAGATGTGGTCAGATGTGAGTAAGGGTTAGTGCACTGTGCAAATTCTTCACCAACATGTTAATGTTACTTTTCCACAACTTCTGGTCACAGTCTATAATAACTTTGTCATGAAATATTGTTTTTTTTTAAAAAAAACAACAGTGGAAATTTCACTTGAACCTCTTCAGACGGAAAATTATAAAATAATTTTGACAATAAATAAAGCTGGATGAAGCCCCAGGCAGGGAATTCTTGCATCTGAAATTCATGATGCAGAACCCAAAATGACTGAAGGATTTAAAAAAATAGAAGGATACAAGTAGTGGAACTCAAAAGTGGTTATTGTAGATTCTTTGAGGATTTGGGCTTTGGAAGCAGGCAAGAGATCCAAGAACTTGAAAATGAGCTAATGAGTTGAGAAGTGACCAACTTCCACTCAATATGGGGGATAATCCTCTATATCATTCATCATTATTATAATTTTACATTTAATCTACACATTATGATTCTGCATTATGGAGCACATCAGTGGAGGACAGTGTGATAATCTAGGGCATGTGTACATAATCAACTCTGAGAAATTACACATATGTCATCTTTCAGTGTATCTTTTTATGGGCATACCATTCAAAAACCACTTATACCAATCTTGGCATATGAAAAACACAATTGTTAACACTTAATTCCCTGCTATGTAATAGAACAAGGGAACTTGATAGAGCCTGCCTGCAGTGTTGTAGCCATTGGTCAGGCTCTTCCTATCCTGTCCTCTGTTCTCCCTGTCCCATTCTCTGTTCATCATTATTCTATCATCTAGTTCTATGTAGTCAACTTCTTTTAGGTTCCACGTAAGTTTGACACCATATGGTATTTTTCTTTCTGTCCCTGTCTTTTTTCTCTTAATCTAAGGTCCTCGAGGTCATTTATGGTGTCACAATTGACTGTTCTTCCTCCTTTTTGTGGCTGAATAGTATTCATTGTGTAATCCTTCGGTTTTTCTTTATGAATAATTTGAAATTTTATGTTAATTTCATACCCTGACTAATTTGACTAACACTGAAAACTTGGCACACTGAGAGAAGTCCTCCCATTGCCCCACATACTGCCCAGCAATAGTGATCCTCAGGCTTTTATAATCACTAACCTAACATGATTGAGGTGATGTCTTGTGAGTTTGATTTGCATTTCTCTGATTACCAGTGACCCTCAACATCTTTGCATGGACCTCTTGACATTTCTGTATCTTCTTCTGACCATTATTTTGATGAGATCTGTGCTTTGTGTTTATATTATTTGTTAAATATGAGGATGGATCTGTCTAGTATATATTAAGATATTACCTCATTTTCATAGCCATTATTAACATTATTATTATCACAATCAATATAATTATCACTACTACTAATTTACTTCTGACATCAATCTCATTTTGAATACCCAATTGTTATTCATGCTTACCTGTTTTGACAGAGATGACTTCTATACAAAACTCAGAAGACACATCTTATCTTATTTCTGCAAATATTCATGGGGACCTAGGGCTTTCCTTGCCAGAATAACATAGGGATACCTCCAATGTCACAACCTTATGCCTGCCTAGGGCACAGTGAAAATAACAGAGAATGGGTAGTGGGGTCTGTACTCAGGTTCCTATTCCTCTCATGTAGCATGCTATGTCCTCAAGGGAGACCTTTTGAAATTCTGAGTTTCCTGTTCTGAGAGCAAAAGGGCAGCCTGGTGTGGAGTCCCTTCCCAGAGAAGCATTTGTCAATGGCTATGTGAGCAGGTGTGTGAAATCCCAGTTCTGTGTGTCAGCGTGAAACTCTTGAGTTTTCTCATTACCCTTGTTTTCTCTGTGGGATAGGATATGGGTGCCCTCTGTGTGATCTCCAGAGCTAGTACCCAAATCTATCACCTGTGCTTCTCCTTAGCTGCTACATTTATTTCATTTACATTTTCTTCAGAGGACAAGAATTAGTAAATCTTTCACATTGATGTGTGACTATGCAGCTCCCAAGAATGAGGCTGTCAATAGAGAGGGCAATTGTTGGCTGGAGGCAAAGGCTTTAAAGAAAAGGAGATCAAAGGATGGCTCTTACTATAGATGTTACAAAAATATGAGGTTTCTTTTACTTTGAACCCACAAATATTGCCTCTCTTTTGATTTCCTGTGCAGTCATGACTCAATAAGAAGGAAGAACAAATTTGCTATTCTGTAATCAATCAAGATATCCAGGCACAGTGCCTCTCTGCCCTACCTCATTACCCATATTAATCCATGTGATTTTTGCAGTATCCCTGGGCATTTTGTGGTACTATGGTTCTAAGGAATTCATCCAGGGTCTTCAGCATGTTAAGCAAGAGCCATACCACAGTTTTTTCTCCCACAATTGTCTTTATTTTGTATTTGTGAAAATGTTTTTTATATCTTTTTTGTGCTAAATTGGAACCTGTTACTCTCCTGTGTTTGCCTCTGTATCATTTTTGTTTATTTGCTGACACTACCACTCACAGCACTTGTGTGATTTTGATTTTTTAAATCTTATTCATTCACTTCGTTTTGGTACTGGGTATTAAATCCAGGTACTTACGGTGTGGCCATCACTCTTTCACTTGAACTATGCTTGTATTCTTTATGTGCCATTTTAATCATTTTCTACTGTATGGATAGGACGTTTTGACAGTGGCATTTAAGGGATTATCAAGACTCCTAGTGAATAATATCTATAAACTATATATTAACACAGATAGTTTTACTACAGAGTTGTGTTCTTTTTGTTCTCAGAGCTGTCTTTATGCTGAAAATGTAAAATACATTGAAATCTTGAATTCAATAAATGTAACTTATTTAGGAAGTGAAAATTACTACAATCAAAAAATTCAGGCTTTAGTGACCAAATGAACTATCTGCAAGTGCTGGATGCAACATTTGGTGGAAAGTGAGTCTGAGATTCATTGATGATCAGGAAAGAGGTGGGCATGTCTGCCAGGACAAAGTCTGAGATGATTTCTGTCAGGCAAAGAAATCACAATGATTCTTGTGCAGTCTTCCTAGTCAATGTGTTTTCAGGTAGTTTATTTAAATAATAAGTGCCACAAGACCACAAGATGTCATTACTAATAAAACATTCAACAGCTTATCTGTTGCAAGAAATGCTTTTTATATAATAGGAATAAAATTAGTAAGTGAAAAAGAAAGATGAAACACTTACAAAAGATTCAACTCTAACTGTGTTGAAATGAATACCTCCACTATCAAAATTTGTAAATATCATTGAGATACACAGAAGGGATTGAAAATATTTTAAAATTCAATATTGTAGGATGCTGTATGCTTCAATTTTGATGCACAAAACCTTGTTATAGCAATAAGTTTTCAACAGATACTGATTTTGCTAATGTCCAGACTGATTTACTCTTGTACAAAGAGATGAGTACTACTGCAGAATTTAAAGTAATCTTGATCATACTGCACCTTCACCATTTAGCATAGGCACATACTCCTTATTAAAGGGATTTGTACAGAGGAATCAAGACTCTACAGATCTGTGATCCTTAGGAAGCCCTCCACAATGGGCTGGAAACCTAGGAGGTCATCTAACACACATCTTTACAAGATGTGTCTGAGCAACCCTACACCACTGAGCTATCTGTAGCAGATGGGAGTCAGAGTCAATTTCAGCACAGCCTCTCTTCAGGTCATTGAGGCCACAGCCACAGAACTGGCATCCATTCTGTCCTAGAATTATTTTCAAGTCACCATTGTTC